AAAGGCGTCAATTCTCCTTCTATCCTCCCTAGTCATTGTCCAACTCTCTGATGCATAACAAGTGATTGCAAAGACCATATCCTGTATCAGACTTACTAGTCCCGTTTTTACCCATGTGAAAATGGAGGCACAAAGAGGTTAAATATCATGCCCAGGATACACAACTAGTCATTGAAGGGAAGGATTCAAACGAAAATCTGTCTAACTATAACACACAGTCTCCAATCCACTGCCATCAAGTCAATTCTGACTCAGGGTAACCCTCTGTTGGGTTTCTGAAGCTGTAAATCTTTATGGGAGAATGCTTATCTTTTTCTGATGAGCAATTGGTCGATTGGAACCACAGATGTTTCAGTTTAGTAGCATAACAGACACCACACTACACAACTAGAACACCACTACAACTCAGAATAGAAGATAATGTACTTAACAGCTACTGTTTTTATAATAATTAAAACTAAATGGGGAAAAAATCATTGTCATCAAGTTGGAACCAAGCATAGCTGATCCTCCATGAGGTCGCTGAGGCTGTAAATCGCACCAGAGGAGATTGCTCATCTTTCTCTAGCAGGGTCGCTTCGTAGATTCCAGCTGTCGGAGAGGTGCGGCCTGTGGACTCGGCCACCAGAGCTAATAATACAAACTAAGCTAATAGAAAACTCTCATTACTCCGAACAAGACTACGTTCTTAAACAACAACAAATAAACATGAAAAACAACAAAACAAACTCAAACCAAAAAGCCAATTAAGGTACAGTGCCAGAGGTGTTTTGCAATACATTTCCTTTATTTGAGGATTGCACCCAAATTTTCAATGAAGAATAACACTGTCAAGTGCATAAGCTGCTCATCAGGCTGCCCCTTCCAACCAGCTCCAGACATCCTAGGGACCATTAGGGTGAGAGTAATTGGTTCAGAGATGGGTGTATAATATACATGGGCTGATGAAGAGCCAGGTCCAAGACTTTCATTGTAATTATTGAGGAAGAAACAGGTCTTTTTTGCTGACATTGCTAAACTAGTAGAGTGTAAACCTGGAGCTCCCAGTGGCCATTTTGGCCCCATTATGAAGTTACTCTGCCTGAGAATAAAGTCAACACCAAGGAAAGCAGATGGGCACAATTAGTCAGCTAGACACAGATAAAGACAGAGAAAAATATGCATAGATGGACATGTTGTTATTGTTGCCACTGAGTCTCTCTAACTCGTGACAACACACATAACAGTGTGAAACATAGTAGATTCATAAAGAGAGAGAGAGAGAGAGAGAGAGACGATAGATGGATAATATTAGAG